TTACATTAAAAAAAAAATCAGTGTTGTGTAAACATGAAAGTTGTTACCTATTTCCTTTCTAAAATACATTAAAAAATTTCTCTTCAAAGAAGCCCATAATGCCATGTAGAGAAATGTGTTAGAAAAATGCCTAGAAAATAACATCTGCACTAAGGCAATTTTCTTGAGCCTTTGCTAAGCTGTTTTCATCTACTTCCATCCAACACAGGGACTCCTGCCTCCCCCCAGGCTCAAAATGCTTCCAGGGCTTCCTGACATGTAATATTACAATTCTCTTCTCCACAGCACTGTGGATTTTTTTTCCAGCAACATAGATGAGAATAAAAAGAAAGTACACACAGAATATTCTTGACTGGTAGTTGAACAAGTTGTACATTGCAAGCTGTGTATTTTAAACATTTCCTCAAGTTCACCTATAATGCCCTTTCGGTCACCCAAATTGCTTGTGTGAATGTCTGGTTTTATTACACCTTTAGATATGGATATCAATATCTGACAGATAAACAGTTGGCTAAAAGAAGTTCATACATTGCTAGCAAAGAGTGAAGCTTCCTCGATTTACAGTCTTAAAATTAAATTTCCTTGAGCATTATAAATTATCAACTACCTCTTTACTCAATCGCATTGTCTGCTTAAATCATAGCTAAAAAGTATCCTTAGAGGTATAAAAATTTTGCAACATCAGCCAACTATCCCACAGTTCTTTCTGTATGCAAGAATTTTTTTTCTAAATAGGCATGAAAAGAGTGTTTTATAAAACATCAAATATGTTAATTAAGATTAGCTCTAATTACATATGAGAGCTAGATGAACTTTTTCATTGTTCATACTAATGTAGAGTCTCGTAGTACATCAAAGCAGAGAGAGTATTCGTGAAATATTATGACACGTACTTCTTTAGATGCTGGCCTTGATGGGTTTGAACTCGAAGGCATACAAGGCTCTATTTTTAACACTTTCAAATTTACAAAACAGAGCAGTATGTCTATTTAATCATAATGCAAAAGACAGACAGGTGTTGATCTGTTCAAATGATTGACTGAAAAACGCACACCACGGCAGACTTCAGCCTGAGACAAATATACCACGTTTATCACAGGACTGATACTATTTGCAAATAGTGAACAGTTTTCAACCACAACAGTTTTTACTTCCTAGACTCCATGATTAGAAGTACTATATTCAGGCAGACCTTCTAGAGAATAAATATATTTGGGAATAAACATATTTTTGGCTACATTAATATTTGGTCTAAATGCTGCGAGGAGGATCAGGTACTCAGTTCATTATGCAGCCTCCTGAAGAACTTCGTAATAAGTTGAGAAGTTTCATTCCCTCACCACCCCCCTTTTAAAGTTCTCCTTCATTTGAAGAAATTCACTGTGTATACCCTAGTCTCATACTTTAAAACAGTCCAAGGCTGCCTAGGTGACCAAAAATAGATAGCAAACCAGCTGATGTGCTCTATTGGTGCAGGTAAGCACCTGACTGATGTAAATCTGTGTGGATTTCTTACTTGTCTCGTTCAGGCTGGACTAGCAAGGAATATAGTGGGAGAAGTGAGCATTGCATACGTGTGGGTGTGAGCAACGGCTGTCAAAAGAGCCCACAGAAAATTCCTGCTCTCATAATAGCCTAGAGGAGAATTGAGACGGCTCTGGATCATTTTTCAGATTTGGAATGAGGTGTACTGTCTTACCAACAGAGCAAAGACAAAACTAATTTGTTTGTGGACTTGTGTTACACTCCAGAACTACATTCCACATTCTATTAATTCAAACAACAGTACTAGCTCATATTGGTTTGCATCGTTGTATGAAGGGACAAAATTTGACCACCTCTACCTTTTATTCTTTACTTACTCTTTGCAGTGTTTTTCATATGGGTAGGCTTCTGGTACGCATTTGCTAATTCAAACAATACAGAAATTGCACTACAGTATAGTATTTCTGTCTTTTTCTGAGTCCATGCAAGTAATAAAGAGTCCCAAGTCCTTTATTAATACACTAATGACAACATTCTATGTTATAAAAAGAATGGACTATTGAAATACAGTTTACTGGTGTAACTTTGGTGTGCTTTGGTTTTTTGCTTAACATATCATTTGGTGTGCAATCTATCTTTCTTCCTTTAAGTGTTTACAGAACTTTAATCATTTTGAGCTGATTTTGTTATTTGGTGCCAAAGAGAACATAAAAGATGCCATATGAGATCACATCGCTAAAACCAAAAGGAAAATATTAGGAACAAATTTAATATTTTGAGGTTTCTTTGTTTGTTTTGCCTCTAATACTGGGCAGACTGTTTACCCAAATCATTTTGCTGTAAAGTAACACATAATGAGTTAAATGTGTGCGATGCCACCATCAATCATGTTAATTTGTGTTTGACTGACCAAACATTTATGGCACATTAAATTACTTTCTAATCATATTATGAAGGAGGAAAAAACACACATTCCAAGCTTTCTTTTAAAAACACAGAAGTTTCCTGACAATCTCCTCACTTGTGGGAGTCTCCACTCAATGTTTGCCCAAGGAATTTATGAAGGTCTGACAGTACTTAAATTCAGTGCTCTAAATGTAAAGGAGCGGAAGTACTTTTAGGGAATGGACGTCTTTCTTTTCAATAGAGTCCTCTTTAAAAATTCCAGTCAATGTAGCTGCTCTCCTGCAACACACTGTTGATTCACAGCCACCAAGTAATAGTTTTCTCTTTCAAATGCAGTTTTAAGAGTGGGACAGCTTGGAGAAAGAACTTCCTTTCAGCTAAATAAAGAAACAAAGCTTTTGCTGTTGCCAATTGAGTTGGATTCTCATGAAGAAGTATGTCTCAATTCTTGTATGTTTATTTTGCTTTAGATTTTAATATACTCCGAGATCTTGGGAAATGACGATATGCATTTTACTTGCCTGGATGTACATTCTTAGTTAAGGAGCAGATGCCTTTTTAATCTACTCACAGAGTCTTGCATTCTCCCAAGGCACTATTTGACAGCTTTTTTCTCTCATTGCCATCTGAAGATGACATCTGAAGTAAGGCAAGTGAAGGTATGTCTGCATCCTATTCTGTTTATAAGTGTACACAAATCACAGACACAAGAGCAAAACTGGCATTGATAGCTTCCCTCAAATCAAAATCATTGCTATTTTTATGCTCATTCTGTGTCTATAGAAATCCTCAGACGTAATCTGAGCAGTGCCTTGCAAAGCTGAGCCTTCAGCTTGAAACTTGATCAGTGAGGTAGTCCAACCTGTCACTGTACTGAAATTATTACAAGAATATCTTCTAAAGCAAGAAAAAACAGGATTGAAGGTGGGTAAGATAATGACGTAACTGGTTAGATATATTTTCTGGAATGATGATACCTTTACATTTGCAGTTTTTGACTTGCCTAAACATTTTAACTATGAATCCAGGCCATAAATCTGTTTCTCTCTAGTACAGTTCCCCCCCGTCAGATGTTTGTACACTTTGTCACTTTCCAAATCTCTCAGTTTTTTCACAGCAAGTTTAAATTCAGTATTAAAATAACTTGCATTAAGACTGAGGCTTCTGAAGATATCCGTATACTTGGATGCCTGAGAGAAAACTGATCCTTTCTGATTTTTGAAAGACAGAAGCTGAGAAAAAGTTTCAGGCCTACTCCTGGTTTCAAGAGCAAGTTGACAGAACAGGTTGCCTCACTAATTTGGATACACTAGCGTGACTGTTGCAAACGTTTGAGACTCCTGAAAGCTTTGGGTTACCACACCAGCCAAGCGTGAGGCAGACCAAAATGACCGACAAGAAGAATGATGTTAATAAGAGATATAGTTTTCTTTTGGGATATACATAGAAAGGGTTAATATCAAAGTGACCATATGCTGATTAGTCATAGACAGTTCCCAAGTTTGGCTTTACTGAAGTAAAACAGATTTTTTTGTTCAGAACACAAAGAAAGATGCAAACATTGTAAGTGCAGACAGTACAGCGCAGAGCCCAAGCTTATTTCCATATTGAAAACTGGCATTTTTTTGACTATATGTAATAGTCTGGAATATTTTTGACACACAGGAGTCTGCTGTCCCCAGTTTTTTGGAGGTGTCCAAAGGATACCTTAATAAGAAATTCAGGACTTCATGAGAAGTTAGTGAAGATTCACTACCCTGCACTAATACGTCCACACCCGCAAGAACAGTCCTGGCTTTCTCACCTGAGGACATTAGGTTTTTTTAATTTTGCTTACTTGCACAATGGACTTGAAGTGGACCATGGCCTACCTTGTACTCCAGCATTTCCCATCCCATTAACAACACTCATGGGATTGGAAAGAGATCGTCCTTTATGTTTGGAATCAGCATCCCAGAAAAGCAGGAGGAAGGAAGCACAGATTGCTGCCATCAGGGCCTTGGTCAAGTGAACTAGTATTGCTGCCACAGAAGTCTAGGAATAACTGGGTTAAAATTTTGCCATGTAGGTCCAAAAGAGCTCTTTGACCAAGGAGAAACACATACATGAATGATGTTGTATAGGCTTCAGTTCCAACACATGTTCCGTATTTACTCTCACAGTCAGAGGTCTCCTAGCCACTTGATCCAAAAAAACAAAACGATTAGTCCTTTTTTCTGGGCATTTTGTTGCTATATGGGACCTACATAAATCATATTTTTGTTTTAGCAGCAGGGGCTTTTCTCATAGCTAAATATGTGTTTTGACTAAAATAAAGCAAAACATGCAACACCAGAAATATCTCCCTTGAAATGGATGATGCTCTGAATCATCATTTAAAAGCCAAACACTTGCTGAATAAAAATAAAAACATAGCTTGACAGAATCTGGCTCATTACCCAATTTGCAGCAGAGAACTTATGTATCTACATGTGTGCTGGGTTTTTTTTTTTCTTTTACAAAATCTATCAATATGTTCCTATCTGTTTCATATTTGAGTCACATTCTCTACTCCGCTTTCTGACAAACTGCATTGTGGACTAAAACATTCTGATGAGACAAGACATTACCTTTATGAACGACCTCATAGAGAAGAGGTTGGCTAACATTGTTGAAAGGCCCGGTGCCAGGCAGCTCTGGGCTATGAAACCCAGCTTGAGCTCGGCAAGACAGATTGCATCATCCCCTTCTTTCCAGTTCCAGCTTGGGATATTTAGCAGATGAGCCTGGAAAACGAAAAAATAAACAACAAACCTACCAGTGAAGAACCAGAAATACTTCTTGAAATACAGTACAGCATTGAAGGAGAGAGCAGTGAATGATTTTCTTTACTACTGGCTTGACTTCTTCTGAGTAGACAGAAACACTAAAAGTATTTTAGAATGTAAGTCTATGCTAAGAAATCTTCTAATCTTTTGTTATAGACAAAATCTTAAAATTTTCAAACCATATTCTGGCTGTGACACTCTGCCAAGCCTATCCTCACACCTGAACAAACCACAGAATGTTGTAAAGATTTCCTTCCCTTCTGTGTATTCCTTTTACAGTATTTTGAACCATTCTCTGACTGGTTACACACATACATAAGATACAGGAAATTACATAACTTAGATTACCACTTGTGTGAAGCTGAAACCTTTATAAGACATTGTAATTTAACAAGGTATACAACATCTTCTGTCTTTTCTATTTTGTTCCTTCCACCCTGAAGGACAGCACGTGACTTAGTCAAAACACAAACTTTTTCCTAAGACTGCTAATTATAAGCATAGAATAAAGAAAATAGCTGATCAAGACAGACCTCCAGTATTGACACTGGTTAGTTAGATAAGTATTAATACTGTTCATTTATTGGCATAACTCTATCGAACTCCCTCATCCATCTGCCTCATAGAAATGCACAGACATAAGGAAACACAGAAGCCTTCATGCTTGTCTCCCTTCATAAGTTAATGTTACAGTTCAGCACTTTGACAAAAGTTAGTCTTGAAGACACATGCACTGGAAATGCAAAGGAAAAAATGCAGTATTTAAAAACTCTTCCCCCTCCAAACCTGTTTAAAGCAGAGAAACACCTTGCTTTTATTCTATGAAAAGACGGGCTCCATCCATTCACATACAGTTAGAAGACATCACAAGCAACAGTAATTGTTGCTCTTGTTCTAGCTGAAGATCACAGGTATAAGGAGTTTTTAGCAGTCAAACCTTCGGAGTACCAGGATTATTGTATTGCATTGAACGAAGGACTACCCAGCCAAGCCTTTTCTCTAACACTGGGCAGTGGTTAACGCTTTTAGAAATAACAAAAGAAGCAGGTCACATATCAGCAGTCTGTCCTCTGATATAGTCTTCCTAGGCCTGCTAGTCAGCAGTTTATGGACTTCCTCAACTCAGGACTGAATGAATTGACCTTACTGTGTTTAAACGCCACAGATTTACCATCTAACATTTACCAAATTCCTTTCCAAAACGGATTTAGAATTTTGACCTCCACAACATTTTTAGGAACAAATTCCACAACTGAAATATGTTTTATATGACAAAACACTTAATTCTGTTTATCTTCTACCTGCTACTTGGCAATTTCAGGTCTACACTGTCATGCAAGAAACACAAAATCACAATAAATCTCCAACACGACTATAATTCTATGATTTTTTTTAAGTATCCACAAAGAACTGACTTCAGATAACTTGCCCAGAGGCCACCAGTTCATCTCAGGTATCTCTAGTGTGATAAGATGAGCAAAACTTACAGAAGCTGAGCGGTTAAAAGCTCAGCTGGAATCAATAGCAACTATGGACAATGCAGTTTTGAGAATTAGACCCTAGGCAATTAATAAATGTCAGAGCATTTTGATAAGATCCCTTGCATATATAAATAAAACTGAACCACCTTGTAACTGGATTACATGACAAGGCTTATTAGGACATTCTTGTTTGTAAAGAAAAATGCTTACTGTTAGTGTAGATAGGAAAACTGTGTATAAAGGATGGCAACGTAGCAAAAAACTCTGGGGAGAGACACTGTTTGTTGTCACGTTACCTTATTGTGATACTGCAACATCTGGGTGATAATTCTTATCTTCGGATGATAATTCTTTATTGATATTACTCTAAAAAAATAAAATCAAGACAATAACTTTTAGCTGGTTGGATATTTGGATAACTTATCCCAATACCTTTATGTTACTGGGCTGTCAAGTTCCACAGTTAAAACTGTACCCTCTTATTCATCCGGCTATAAAGCATATTGATTGAAGTCAGACCTATGCAATATTTAATTCTAGTCAATTTCAGTTAATAACCATCAGCTAATGGTAGAGAACATCAAGCTCTGGGAATTATTCCGTTGAATAGCTCACTCTTATGGAATTTGCAGAAAAAGAAACTTATTTTAGCAGCTCTGTTCAGATACTGTACTCATTCCTTTAAGTAAATAATACACTTGCAACTACTACGTCATTCAGTGATTACCTTCACTTCTTTGAATCAACATAATTGGTCAAGTTTTCCAATGATAAATGTCTGAAAATAATCCCTTTCTGCCCCATTACATATTATTTATTTATAGTTGCAAGACATTAATCATATTTAAACTCTATGAATAATGATTTTGTTTGACATAAATCCACATGCAAATTCATCTTAATTTTTATGGGTTATTCAAAAGCTCAATATTGAAACTGATATCTGATGTCTGAATTTATGAAATATGGGGCTACTTCCATAATATGCAGCTTGACTGCACTCGTAATTACTTAATGAGCCTAAGATATACTCAGCTGTGTACAGACTGAAAGTGGCTGGAAAGAAAAATATTTGAGAAATGAGTGGATTGCCAACATTTTGTGAAGAGATGAACATACAATTTAAAAATTAAAAAAGCATTGAGCAAAATTAAAGAGAGAAACAGGCCAAAAATAATCAGTTCTGTAGACACAAACTAAATACAGAGAAAGAATATAAAACAATCAAAATAGAAAATAATCTGAGTTATTATGGAATCACCAGTCTCATAGGACTCTGAGAGCCATAACTGTTTACACTGGTGTTTTGCAGGAAGCATCTTGCAAACTGCTAGTCTGGCTTTTGCTTTGAAGCATACCAAAGCAAGGGTATGAAATAGATAAAAAAACTGTATGCATTATTTTAATTTATGTTACGTTTTGGAAGGAGAAAACAAGTCTTCCCTCTAATTTCCCATTTCTTACTGGATTATTTGATTAAACATTCAATTTTCTTGAATTAAATTCATCTAAATGTGAGAAAAGACACAATAATTCCACTCTTAAAAGAACATTTTTGCATTCTATTACATGTCATGTATAAAATCTATTAAGAATTCACTAGTCTCCAACTGGAATATTTCCAATGTATTTATGCAATTGATGTCAAAATAAAGTTTCTTGCATTGAAACTCAATAGCATGTTTGGAAAACTAAATTAGGTATATTCAAGCCCTGCACCTTCCATAGACAGACAGATCTCTCGCATCCAGATCTAGGAGACCACTGTATCATCACCATCATGAAGCGTATACCTTGCTTTCCCCGAAGCAGCATAATTACTTGTAGAAGCAGACATACCAAGGAGCAATAAGGTATGAAGTAATTAAGAGTCATTCTGTCCCATCGTTAACACCAGCCTATGCAATACATGCACTCAGGTAACATATTGTTGCAACAACGTAACTGCATTCCCTTTCCTCTCTTTTCTATTGGGACTGAGTTCAGCTACAAATACTTAAATCCTAGGTCCTGCAAAATGACTAAGACTACCAAAGCTTGTGCTACGAGCGTCTCTTCTGACACACGCTTTCTACAACAGTCAAATTAAACCAGTTTAGGCAGGAATTTAGGGTATCTTTTTCCAAAATTTTGAGAGAATCTTTTAATTTGTCCCCTAAAAAAAAATCCTGCAAGTGCAACAGCTGAGTAATAACGTTGTGTGCGGCTATAGCCTATCTGGACACCAGAAGTTAGCTAATCAGAGTTAAGACCCAAAAACCTATTAAAAAGTAATGAATTTACCTCATAATATTGGAGGCATCTTCAGCATCTGGGTCAGCGCAGTATTTATTGGCAAGGATTAGGCACGCATCTGCTGACTCTATCTGAGACACCAAGGAAAAAGCAAACATAAATAACCACTTCTCTTTCCAGCTCTCCTTTCATCATAAAGTATTAAGGAATCCAAAGCTGCCATCATGAGTGTGGAATGTCAGTTCTTAATGCTGCTAATCAAAAATATTATAAGGCTAAAGTGAGTTAATGTGAGTGACGATAACAGCTCTTATAGCAATTTCTTGAAACCTCCTTACGATGCTCAGACCAGACCAGTAGTTCAATTATCGACTCTTGTTTTGCACCAGATGAGGCACAGAGATGTTAATGGACATGTATTTTGTAACCAGAGACTGAATTTTAGACCCCTAAATCCATAGCAACTTCCTGTTATATCACTGCAGTGCTCCCACTGGCCCTGCAGCTTTGTTTGGGAATTGGGAAAATTCAGGAGTTTGGGAAAGAATTGGAGGTAGCTTCCTGTGTCCTGGTTTCAGCTGGGATAGAGTTTATTTTGTTCCCAGTAGCTGCTGTGTCATTGATTTAGTATGAGAAGAATGTTGATAATACAGCAACGGTTTTAGTTTTTGCTGAGAAATCAAGGACCTTTTCCAGTTTCCCTTGCTCAGCTAATGTACAGGCGTACAAGAGCTGGAAGGGAGCACAGCCAGGCAGCCAGCCCAATGGAAGGGGGGGAAGGAGTGAGTGAGCGGCTGCGTGGTCTCAGTTGCCGGCTGCTGGGTTAAGCCACGACATCCTATTAGAGACACGAAGAGGCAGCTGAACCGATGATTTAGAGCACCAGTTTCAGAAAGCTTGAGCAGGAGAACTGATCTGTTCACAGACCTCTATGTCCACCCAAACTTTGGCTCTATTTAGGTCAAAGCAGATGACAAAAGTATTTTTCAGTGCATACAACCAAATACCAATACAAAGAAGGGTGGAATACAGAACACAAAACACCAACGCACAATTTTATGGTCACAATTGGAACATTTTGTTCTGATGAACCAAAACAGTGTATGTTGGGCTATGAAAGGTTATGCAATTTCTGCAGCCAAAATGGACAAAAGACATGATTAATACTCCAGAAAGTGTTAACATTGCACTAAAATATTCTTGGCTTAAGAAGCTTGTTTACTTTCCTTTAAAAAAAAAAAAACAAAAATCCCAGAAACATAAGAGTTAACGCTGTCTCTGACAGCTTGCCATCTTTTTTTTCTTCACTTAAGCTTCATGCTTTGCTTTAAGAGTACAAAATAATTTACCATAAAGAATTCTAGACAATAAAACCATCTCATTTTAGCTACTAAAAATCTTAAATTGCATTTTTTTCCCAAGGATTCTAGAAAATAGAAAAAGGGTTTGACAGGTGAAAAATTATTTTCTAATCACTCTGATGAAGGTAAGACAATAGCACTTTAAGCAATTATTGTAAGACAATGTTCTATTACATTGAACATTAATGTAAAATAGACTCTTGAATTAAACCTCAATGAAAAATTCATACATAGTTCAATGGAACGGCAGACAACGTATCTTAAGTCACATTGTTACTGCAGCTTTGAAGATCTAAAGATATAAGGAACACAAGTTTTATAAGGATAGATATTATCATTTACTAGGCAAGCTAATAAAGTTGGAAAAACAATCATTTGGGTTACATGAAGAAGAGCTTTATTTTTCCAAATAATCATATGCAATGAGTACTTGAAAAAAAGTCAGTTAGCAGGAGAACAGAACAACAGAGCTGTTACCTTCACTCTCGCCAGGTCATGGGGATTAAGGACTGAACCCTGATAAAATTCCACCTGAGTGAAGTGTCGCTTAAAAAGAGCTTCCAGCTCAAGGTTAGGGGAGATACTGCATTGGGAAGAGGAAGAAAACACAAGAGCAAATGTGAGTTTCCGTAACTGCCCCGTTTCCTTCATTTATAAACCAACCCATTGCTTCATTGTAGGTATTCAGACTTCTGCTGATGCTTTTCCTGTGGTGCGGAAACAGTGTGCGGTACTTAAAAGACAAATGCTATACTGCTTTCGCTTCCCTACTTCTGTCGAGAGAGCTCCTGGCCCACTTTGTTGTGACACTCTGCATGCTCACCGCCAGTCTCTCACAGACGTGAATCCAGAAGAACCGGTGCAAATAAACGAAATCTTCCTCACGCAGCACTCTCACAGAATCACAGAATCACAGAATAGTAGGGGTTGGAAGGGACCTCTGTGGGTCATCTAGTCCAACCCTCCTGCCGAAGCAGGGTCACCCAGAGCAGGCTGCACAGGACCGCGTCCAGGCGGGTCTTGAATATCTCCAGAGAAGGAGACTCCACAACCTCCCTGAGCAGCCTGTTCCAGGGCTCCTTCACCCTCAGAGGGAAGAAGTTCTTCCTCATGTTCAGACGGAACTTCCTGTGCCTCAGTTTGTGCCCATTGCCCCTTGTCCTGTCACTGGGCACCACTGAAAAGAGCTTGGCCCCATCCTCCTGACACCCACCCTTGAGATATTTATAAGCATTTATTAGGTCCCCTAATTCTCCACAGAAATAATCTAGCTAGACACTCCTCCTCCCCATGCCCCCACCATTTGCAAGACAGCTGATTGCATCAACAAAGCCCAATGCAAAATCACTCAAAGCCCAAGAAGGAACCCTACAGGGACCCTGTGGCCTGTGGGAGCTGCAATTAAACATAACTATACCATGACTTGCTGCCTCATTTCGTTTTGCCGTAAACAAACAAACAAAAAAGTATCACAATGTATTACATCATGTGGCACCAACCTTGCAAATACCTTTTCTGATGCCACTCATTAAAACAGAAGGGATTTAATAGCTACCTAGCAAGTGCATGAGATCTTTGTCATGCCACATGCTAAATTTAATAGGAAAATAAAAAAAGATACAGGCAAATATTTGTCTGTGAAGGTACAGAAGAAAGCAGGCACAAGCAAGTAGCCTGGTGCTAAACTCCCTTCAGGTGCACATACAGTTCCCTGATTCCCATCACCGTGCATCTACATTGTGGAAAGCTGGATCTCTGCTTTCCTCTGACCGTCAATTCTTCTTATTACTCAGAGACAAGAAAGACGCAAAGAATGTAGTTACTTAAGGGTATCATCTTCAGTTCAATTTGAAAGGGATACATAAAAAATATTGTGCAAGTGCTGCTGATTCTTAGTTTTTGATGTTTTGATGATTGTTGAATCATCACAAATCATTCCTTAACTTTTCAACCATTTTCTTTGACAAGAAGAAAAGTGCAGAACTGGCTGCTAAACACAAAAACATTACTCGTTCACAACTTGCAACAGTTCTGAATGGATGCATTCTGGAGCAGAAAAGACTTTTCGTACTGTCTCTCTCTCTAGCACAGGGCTGCTCCTAGCAGCTCCTCGTACAGGCGTGCCTATTTGGTGCTGGATTATGGGTAATACAGAGCCTGCAACAAACAGCAACGACCTTCACACACCTTTCCAAATCCCCCATCAGAAAAATGCCAGAACCTCTGTGTGTAGGTATGTATTTGTGGGTAAAAGAGCAGTACTAATTATCACCCTGACAAGAATTTCTTCTCTGTCTTCACTATATCTGTCAAGTAACACATCTCATTTATATTAAAATTACATCCGCACCTACATTTTTCTTTTTATAAATAGTTTGCAATCATGAAATATGCATTTTTTTCATTGTGAAATCAAAGGTGAAAATACTTTTTTCAGATAGCATAAGTTCGTGATGTGAATTTTTTCACTGGTTTTGCCAATTTTGGTAGTTTCACTAGAAATATTTGCCACTAAAGAAAATTCTCACTTCTACTGATTACTACTTTAATATTTTTAATTTCCCACCTCAGCTTTGTGTATAGCTATCTGCCTCACAACTGACACAACTGGGTCTGAGGCCCATCTGCTTGTAACACCTATACTTTGCAATGGGTTATAAAAATCACAGAAAACGCTGTTTTCAAAATACGTTGATAACAAAAGTAATCACAAACATAAATTTTATGGTTACTTGGAGCATGAAAGATCCCCTGTCTTCCCAAAAAAAGATACATCCCAACTTAATGTGTTTTAGTAACAGATGATACGACTGATCTTGAAAGATTACTCACTTATGCAGAAAGACGATTTCTACGTTGACATCATCCCTATCCTTGTGCAGGAAGTCCTTCAGGAAGTTGGACACGCTTTCAAGTGTTATGTGACCACAGACAACTATGTGCCTGTTACAGAAAAAGCAGAGTTAATCTTGCAAAGGAGGTAAAATGAGCAAACAAGAAAGCAAAGGAGGAAATGGTGATAATTTGTTATCTTCTTGATGTTTCTCTAGATCCTGTTCCTTGAAGTCAGAGGAGGAAAACACCAGTTCCAAGAGGTGCTTTGCAGTTGCATATACATATACACTCTCACTTGCAAAGACTATTATTACAAACCGTTTGGCCAAGTCGTGTTACACATTTAACAATAAGTGGCATAATTTATATATATGTTTATACACTGTTTTAACCAGCCCCTTTCAAAGTCACATTTCTTTATTTTACACATCTTTCTCCACACCTTTATCTCCAATACTGACATTTACCATTTAAATTTTTGGTTTCTGACATAATGAGACAGCAGATCTCCCTAAAATGATTTGATTATTTTTCCATGGTTGAAAGCAGACACGCCAATGAAGGCAGTGCAAAGCTTTCCAATTACAGGCCTTAAGAAGTAAAAAAGAAATCTTTTCCCTAACATAACTCCTACAAGGAGAGTACTTCACAACAAGAAATGATTATTTATTACACCATTGCAATAGATTGCTTAGAAAAATCAAAGGTCGCACAGATTGTGATGTCACAAAGGCTTCTACTGCTCCACATTTCCACTATTAGATGTATCTGCCCATGTAAGATTGAAGCACAATATATACCTATGTACACATCCTTGAATTCTACATCTTCAATTCTGAGACGCTGAAGAAAAGGCCTAGGAAATTGCACTCTTCCTGACTTCAGGGATCTTTGCTCCTTTATTATTGTAAAGCAAAGTCCAAAAATTTGTGATTAGAATATCCTACACTGTCTCACAATGTTCTTCATGGAATAAACTCAACCCCAGCTTCCATTCCCCTCACGGGTTTAAGACAGATGGTATGCCTATTGCTAACACTTCCAGCTACCACACTGCTCCCAGAAGTCAGGAAAAGGGACAAGCTGGTATAGACACAATTCCTGAACTAACAGAAAGTTACACTTTCACATTTGAGGATCAGGATGATTCCTTTGGAAGCCTCAGCAGGCATCTGCACCTTGGTTTCATTTTAGCACCCTGATTTGGGGCTGGACGTTATCTCCCTCCTTTCTGTTAATTTATAGCGTGAGACAGTGTCCTGAGCAGTGATTGCAACAAACCCTCCTGGTTTTCAAACAATATTTTCCAGTGAGATACTTGCACTAATTATTGGTTGAAAACTCCCACAGAAAAATGTCCTTTTAACATAAATTATATTTTTGCTTAGAAGTAGAAGAAATTTAAAACAGATTTCCTGCTTGCCCAGAGAGAGTTACTAGGTGCATTATTTAAGAAAACGTGGAGAGCTTATATTGTTCCAATCTGTCCTGTATATGATTTGAAGATTTATAACTTCCTGTTTGTTGCAATAACCATTCCCTTCCCATGTATCACCCCTTTTCTTCCACGCACTGAGAGTTTAAGTAAAGCCAGCATAACTGGATTATCTTTTGCTTTCAGCTAGAGTTGGTTTTGTAGGAAAACACTGTAGGAAACAACTGTTTCTGTTGACCAATTTTTGGTCAACAGAAACATCTAATGTCTGCATTAAGCTTTTGTTTATGAAAAACCTCAAAAATAATACAGTATTACAGATAAATAATTATTATTTCCAACTTTTTTTCATTCTTCAAAAACGAAATGTAGAAATCCCCTTACAATACTGAAAACCAAAATTCAGGAACTTAAGACATTTTTATTGCTGATAAGTATTCAGGAGGATTAAGGTTTCTGTTAAGTAATAGTTGTCATTGGTATCATGTACCAGAGGGGAAACTGGTTTGATATACCAATGGGAATCCATATTGTGTGATTGTGAAGCTGCAAAAAGAATTTTTTAGAGAGAATCAAAAGCTTATCACGAGCCATATTCTATCAACCAATAAAGCCAGACTAAACCATTCTCTCCCATATGTATTTAAAATTCTCAAAATTAATTACAGCGACCAAACAGGAAAAATCAGTAGTTCTACACAGTTGAAATTCTCTACACTACCTAATTTTTTTCTGCTCAAGCATCGACATCACGGTACATTTGCTAAAAATGCACTAGCTTCTTAAAGAGTAAACAAAGATGGCAATAAAAGGTCCAAAGCCACCGCAGATACAAACAGTTTGAGGAAGAAAAAAATGAAATAAGCAAAAGCTAAAACATCTAGAAATCTGACGTGAGATAATTGAGAACATACACTTAATCCATGTAAATAGTACTGTAAATGAAAACAGATCCGTTGTGAATAGGATTCTTCAAAAAGGATTTTTGTGTGGTTCCTCCTTCAGAGGACACAAGACAAAAGGCAAATCTTTTGCCTGTTTATTTTGAAAGAATTTATATCCATTTTATTTGAACAAGTATAAAGAACTTGAAAAAACCCACTCTAACTAGTCTGTCATAATAAATCACAGATAATAAATACAAAATTCTGTTCAGCACTCAGTTGAATATAGGGTGTTCACTTGTCAAGTAACTAAATGAAGTGTGGCACATATTGATCTAGATTTCTCTATAAAACTATAATATTTATATCAAATACATATGCTCAAAACTCTTTATGGTCTTTCTGCTTAGTGTTCAGATCATGCTGTCGTCTATTGCCCGTCTAAATTCTTTCTTTGTGTACCAGTAGCGGGCTGCTGTGGTTGAAGTAAATGGGTTCTTGTAAAGTCTAACTGTTTTTCCTCAACAAAGAATGGGTCTCAGTTACTTTTTCTTATTAAGAAAATCAATAAATGTCAACAGAGACTGTACATACGGTCTTGTTTGTCTATTAGTGATGTGCATTCTTTACATATACACCAGTTTACAATACATTTCTGGCTGCTTATGCTTTTTACAATTTATGTAACATTATTCAAGATTCTATGAATTCAGTTCAAGTAAGTGAAAAGTCTATGCATGTGCTTATGCGTGTCTCATTTGGCTAAACACATGTCTTATTTTAATATGAACTCTGCTCTTACATTAATAGAGTAATAGGTCCTGTACAGTTATGATTTCGTGTTTTTCTTTTCACAGAAGACTCAGACCTAAGGATGGTCCTCTAACGAGCACTTATTTAGCAAATGCATATAGTGAGCCAGAACAATGTTACAATATTTTAAACGTTAAAAAAAGCCTATATATTGCATATATGACAAAAGCAAAGACTGAGAGCCACTCATCTAGAACAGATACTCATGGACCAAAAAAGACATACCAGGTTAGATTTAAAAAATCACTGTAGCGGGTACGAAACAAAAAAGAGTTACTCCCAAACTTGCCTTTCTGCATTAGTCATTTATGTCTCTGAACACAGAGCTCTGAAAACAAGTCACGGGGGTTTTCTTTAAAATTCAACTGTAAGCTCTCTATTTGCTCACTCTGATTCTCAAATCAGGCTCCAGAAATTTTCTAGTACGCAGGAGACAAGTCAAAAATATTCAAGGATATAGCAAATTGTCTGTCAAGTGCGCAACAACCCAGCAACTTTACTTTAACATTTGTTCTGCTTCACCTGTTTGCTGGAAAGCAGATTTTCATTATTCTCTTTACTCCTGAAGGATTAAAAATTTCAAAAGCGTTGAAGTTACAGAGAAGCCAAAAGCATTGACTTTCAAATATGTATCAACATTAGATGTATAAATGAACATGACTACACAGTGACTGGAGATGTGATTGCAGTATGTGAGAACATGTCTGAGGTACCTTTAATTTCTGTAAATTGGACCTGATAGCTTCAGCTGCCAGCTATTTCGGAACCAGAGAGAACTCGTGCAGCCTCTGCTGAAGCCGCTGTGATTAATTCTGACTATTTCTGACAGAAACTATCTGTTCTTTCCAGTAGGTTCCATGCTCTTTGGAATCTCTCTTATGTTGTGCGTAAAGAAAAAGGAATTAGTTCATACCAGATAACACTCAAAGAGCTACATTCAGTGTATAGTACACAGTACAGATCAGTGGAACAGCACTGGATCATTCATTAGACTAACATAAATGGGAAACCAATAACGTCAGGCATTTGAATGTTTCCTCTCACGCAGATACTAAAATACTCAGTGACCAGTATAAGTATGTAAAATTAAGAATCAAGAAGGATTCATTTCAAATTCTCTTAAACGTAAAATTGCTAATGTGTGACAAATATCCAGTCACAAGACGACCCTAATTAGTTGTGAATTCTTACAACTATGAAGCTACTTCAAGTGCACTTATACAAATCCAAGTACAAACGGTACAAAAGAATCCACTTACACAGGTCCTCAAATATTTTATGCCCACCTAAGTGAGATTTCTACTAGAGAACAGGCCAACAGAGTGCATTTCAGATACTTTAATCCTGGGTAAATAGCACACTCCTTTGTTTAAACTGCATATTAGAGCTTGCATCAAAGTCTGTTTGCAATCGCATGCTATCAGAAGAGATTCCCTGTGAGCTGCTTTGTTTCTTTCAACTTCCTTGCTCAGTTACAGCTAAATGAATTTATCTTATATTTTTATGATCTAAGGAACTGTGAAACGCTTGTCTATAAAGGAACTTAAGAAATAAAAGTTAATATTCTTTGCTTGATGCATACCTCTGAAACTGCAATAAGAAGAAGAAAGCACAGTGATTTGTTTCTGCCAGGGTCTGGATTAGTTAAGAAGCTTCCACTGTAGCTTAAAGTAAAGGATGAATTCATCCTTTCCTTCAGTTTTGATGGTAATATCTAGAGTATTTCTGCTTTCATAAAAAATACCACAACATTTAGACACAACACAGCTGTATCACCATAAGAAATAAGTGAATAATTTAGTAGAAACAAGTACAAACTGTTAAATGTTATAGCACGCACAAGGAGTCGATAGCAGAAAGCTTACAGCAAAATGCAGGGCACCTCCAGCATTAGCATCTCGGTTACAAAGAGACCTTAATCTACTGCTCTAATCCAAACCCTGGGTTTCTTTCTTGTACCATTTTGTGCAGCAATC